TGCAACATACGTACCCTAACCATGTGTGTTGATATATAATAAAAGACATAAACATTACAGGCAACATACGTACCCTAACCATGATCCTGAGATTCAAGCTCATATCATGGCACCATAATTATATATATAAAATCCATCCTATCCAATTATAATTAATCCACTAGAAGTCATCCAACTTGTAGTAAGACTTAACTTAATAGTTAATCTATTCCCTTATTCTAGAATAGGTAGGACTTAGCGTTTTGAGCTAATCTGTCCCTAATATTCCACTGTCCCATACCGGTATATATAATTCATAGGATCTAATAATTGATAGAACAAAATAAAGTAATTCATCAATTAAAATTCAGAGAATGATATAATGAAAATCAGATAAATAACTGAGTACATTATATTGAAGTATTCAAGAGTAAACTCATATTAACTTATTTAACTTGCTAGAACAACGACAAGCAATTAAATCTTTCATAACCATTGACAGCATGCAAATCAATATTTAAATTTCATGCTGTCCTAGATCACAACATAATAGCATAGATTAATAATCCTGGGATTTTAACATGTTGATATAAATCATTTAAAACCCCTCATAAAAGTTCAGAACCGCATTACAGCCCCTGGAAACCCAAAAACACCTCAGAAAATACCCCTGTTGGTGTATTACAGCCTGGAAGCCGCCTCCCCTAAAGAGGGAGCCGGCTTCCCCCTTTAGAGAGTCGGCTCTCTCTCTTAGAGAGCCGTATGCTTAAAAACAAAGAGAATCGGCTCCATCCCTTTGGAAGCCGGCTCTGTCCCTGCTTCCTATCATCTTTTTTGTTTCCGACGATGTGAAATCTTTCTGTGCTCATTTGTTAAGGTCCCTAGGGGTCTAAACTATGTCCCAAAACATCCTTATAATTCATATAAACTAGTATCATTAACAAAAATTTAAAACACATATTATGAAACAATTTTATAAGATAAATCAATTTCAATTTAAAACACAAAATAAAGTTTAAACTCTGAATTAACATACATACAAGACCAATATTAATGTCCGATTAATCCTAAAGATTACTTAGGTATGTATAGAACACAAGTCTAGGGGAAAAAGTAAGAGAAAGAACTTGCCTTTGAGATTTTGGATAAAAATCCCAACGTCGTCTTCTTAGATTTTTCGACAACCCTTGACTATTTTCAACTCCTCTGTTGCCCTTGATTCAACCCACGAACAACACCCCTTCTTCCTCTCCTTGATTCAGCCTTGGTTCTTGGCCAATCCTTCTCGTCCTCCTCTATCCGTTCTCTCACAAACTCTCTATTATTTCTTTTTACCTCCACTATTATGTGAATAGGGTTCCAAAACCCTTAGCAGACACAATTTTACATATATATAATATAGGCTAACCCTAATCCCAATCCAATATTAAGTCGGCTATCTTAAAGGAAAAGAAAAGAAAATAAAAGAAAATTACATATACATATAATGTCCTATACGTGATAATCAAATATATACATATAATTTATAATTATATATATATATATATATATATATATATATATATATATATCCTACTAACCTAAAATTACAATTATTAGCATTAATAATAAATAATTAATAATAATAATAATACTCTATCCTTATATAGGTATATACTCAAATATATATACAACCATCCATATATGGGTAAATATCCGTACCCATAATCAACTCCCATTTAAGTAGTCCATACGACCCAATTATTGGTCCATAACTACTATTCATTTAAAAATTCTTTTAAAATAAAAATAAAAATAACACATTTAATCTACAAATAAATTCATGTAAGCAAACACACTATTTAAGAATAAATCAAATAAACAATTACTTCAATTACCACATAAACATAAAATTTAAATTAAAACAAGTAATCCAATTAAACAAATAGCCAAATAATCAAATAATGAATTTAAAAAAACAATAAAACCATAAAATAAATACCGAGACCATCCTTTTAAAATTATGGGCATTACAAGATGTCATTAGAAAGCGGACTCCCGATACCCTCTGTTTCATTTATTTCTTTTTTGCGTCATTTGCTATTACATTATTTAAAACATTATTTATGTAATAAATTTGTTATATTACAATGTAGTAAGTTGCATTGGCAAAGACATTGAATCGGGAAGAGACGAGGGGAAGGAAATTTTTTTTTTTTCCGGTAGAAATGGGGGTGATGTATTAAATTTAATTTATGTGAACGTCATACATTGTGGTCTTGTGTATTGTTTTGGCATAAATGTGGGTGAACAGAGCATAGTATAAAACTAGTTGCGAGATAGGTATGCCATAACCATAAGAAAGAGTAGTCACCTGTCCAGTTGAAAGCATTCCCATTCATTATTGTTGCTTGGTGGGGGCATTGACTGGAGCTGTGTCATAGGGTTGTTATCTGTCTCTAATCATAATATACTTGATTCCTCCCATTATATGACCTCAATTCATAAGGTGGTGTCTCAAGATTTTTCTAATTTTAAATTTAATTTCCGTTACTTAAATTTCAACGACCTTGCACGATTAAAATCAACCCTCCCAAACAAATTATTATAAAAATAAAACAAAATTTAGTACAATGAGATCATTCCTAGGTTTTTATATAAAATTTAGAATGATGACTGGTGATTTTCAAAGCATTAATATAGACTGGCTATAAAAAAATAGCCATTGTTGGGTGTTTGGTAAAATGTTGGTTTCCTTAGCTTATCACTAGTGGTGGTGGAGGAACAAGTAGAATGTATTTAAATTGGTCAATTCACCCATTAAGCTCTTTGTCAAAAATGTAACAGCGCTAATCGAGATGAGTCATTACCAACAAGAAAATGTATTCAATTTGCAGGATTTTCTCGGTACAAGAATTAATAAAATTATTACAAGAATGTTGTTTGGAGAGAAATAAATAAGTCTCTTTAGACTATTTATAAAGGCCAACGATGAATGGGCTTGGTCCTAACCTGGCTGTGATTGTTAGCCCGGCTGAAAATCATAGTAGGCCTCTCGGCTAGGATGTCCACAATTAAGGTTACAGAATATAATTATTTGTTAAGAGTTATTTTTATTTCTTATCAACTAGCAAGTCAATTTTGAACTCCAATCAGTTATAAACTCCTACGGGCTTGATTGATAAAGACGTGATTTTTATGTTTGTTATCTTTTGACAAATTTTAAAAAGTTGTGCTGTCATATCTGTCAAAAATTAAGGCACCGATTTGATGCTTCTAAATGCAATATTACGAAAACACTTCCTCCTTGGACACATTCACCTACGATGCAAAACTCACATATGTGAATACTTGGACAAACACAAATTTGTGCATTTGGAGACAAGGTTGTTTTCAAATTGAGGGAATAAATTCATGTTAAATTCTTGCGTATGGATGGCGAAACATTTTTAACATTGATGCAAATTTAGTATAAGTTACTGTCAGAAAACAAATGAGGCTGGCAGTGGAATCATTGTAAGAGAGATACAAATGGATATGTTATTGAATATATTGGTCACGAACTACTTTATGCACATGATAGATTCATGTGGCTATATATAGATAGATAGATACTGGCATCTACAACAAAAGTTAAAGGAACAGTTAAAATGGGGGACTAACATGGCATGTTTCAAGGTGATGCTTTGGTAGTCCAAAAAGATTCAGAGATTTGTGCTTTCAACATGATTATGGGAAAAGGAAAAGAAAGAAAGTGGTCGCCAAACAGGCTCTAAGTAATCACATACGTTTCACAAATTGCACACTATGAGCTATTGCTTCACCTTCCTTCTGAAATAAGAGAGCTTATATAGTTGGATACATTAATAGTCCATGGGTGATACAGATGTGTACCAGTCTTTATAAGGCCTTTCATTTAATTTTCATTTTTAATTATAGAAAAATAAAACGAAGCCTTAGCAAGTGAGCTTTTCGAAAGCAACACCTCCCAAATCTGCCGGAAAGAAAGAGAGGTCCAAACTATGGTTGGTTTAGAATCTCAGGTCCAGGTTTGTTGCAATCTTAAAAGGGACTCTAGAGCAGGTTGGGTAGGTTGGAGGTTGGAGGTTGAAGTTGGGCCCAATTTGAAGTTAAATGAAATCTTTAACTCTAACTCCATCAATCCGAGCCCAATTCATCCTTAATTTTTTAAACTCGTGTTAAATTTGGGCTTGTAGATAATTTGATATTGAAAATTATGAAAGAAAAAGACAAAATTGAAAGGACTAGCGTCACATAAGTATTAGTGAAACTCAAAATAAAAAATACTTTCTCTATCCCAAAATAGTTAGATAGTAAGAATTTACGTTCCTCATTAATAGTTTTGTAGGGATGTGATCGGAATTCATGAAAAAGTGGAACTCTCTCTCAAAGCACTAATAATTAGGGCTCAATGTAAATGAGCCCATTCTTCCAATCACCAGGGCCCGTCTCCACTATTGGGCCATTGCCTAATCCAAATAATATGGAAAGTTGGAAACTCATAGAGCTCTTAGTCCAACTTTTTTCATCTTCAAATAATAGAGTTCTATATATATCAAGGATTTTATTTTATTTTTTTATTTTTTATTTTTAGGCTTAGGCCTCATATGAACCGTCCCTGCCAAAAACAATATTTAATTGTCATGTCAAATTAGTGGTATCAGACTCCATGAAGTAAATGAAAAAGTTTAAGATTAGGGATTTGCCATGTAAATATGTGAAAGTTGGCAAGTCAGGACAAAAAAGTCCCAAAGTTGTTCAACATTGGACGGTGGACAGCGAGAGCACACGACATAATAAGATGATGAATATGACCCCATCGTAAAATTCTTGGCTAACTCTTCCAATCGGACGGACAATAGACAACCGTTCTCTGTGGCCGTTCATATCCCCTCGACACATTCGCCTGTCATAAAATCCACGCGTCACCTTTGTTTTATTTCATTTTATTTTCTTAGTAGTATTATCACTTATATATATACTCCAATGTATTCATATACTGACATGTATACATATATATATTATATAATATGAGAGAGATGATGATACACGCACGCACGCACATAATGACTGCCTAATAAATTACATTCAGTCCTTTTCTTTCTAGTCTTTTCCACTTCCCTTCACCGCCCGCCTTTCATTTCCCAGGTAGAGTAGTGGACTATCTCTTCTTTCCAACCTTAAAGCACTCATCTCTGATTTCATTTTCTCCTCCTTTCTTACTTCATATCTAAGAACACTAATGTGGGTTCGTTTTCCTCCATTTCCTATTGTAATCTTCATAGAGTCTGATTGAAAAATTAGAATCAACAGCAGAGTATTGGGATGGTGAAGAACAATCACAAAAAATTCATGGTATTTTTTCACAAACATAATATGTAGTTTAATCCACTCTCCTTTTCTGCATTTCTTTTTCATCAAACATATTTCCTTTTCTAGTGTACTTATGCATATAGATACAAGTATTATTATATTGTGTGTTTGACTTGTTGTATTGGGGGTTTCATTGATTCAGGTGAGTCCGATGGTTGGAATAGGGAACCATGATTTGGGTCCGCCATGGTTGAAACCAATGTTGAGAGCCAATTACTTCCTCCCCTGCTCAGTTCATGTATATTCCAATAAAAATGAATGCAATATGTTTTGCTTGGATTGCCCAACTGATGCTCTCTGTTCGTACTGTTTGATCAATCACAAAGATCATGATGTCCTTCAGGTAATTAACCACATGTTGTGAATTTTCAATCTTATTCACGAGCATTAAAGATTGATTGATGGGTAGTTTTTAATGTGTGTAGATTAGGCGATCTTCGTACCATAATGTGGTGAGGATTAATGAGATTCAAAAGTACATTGACATTTCTTGCATTCAGACTTACATCATCAACGGTGCAAAGATTGTTTTTCTGAATGAGAGGCCTCAGCCAAGGCCCGGAAAAGGGGTCACTAACACTTGTGAGATCTGTTGCCGAAGCCTGCCTGACTCCTACAGGTTCTGTTCTCTTGGTTGTAAGGTAAAACTTTCCTTTCCCTCCCTTGTTTTTTCCTCTCTTGAGTTTTCCTCCCTAGAGCAAAAGAAAATAGCTAGCCTAGTGCACTAAGGGTCTGGGAATATCTAATGACTACTTTTTGATCGATGTTTCATCTACTCTGTTTTAGGCCTTACTTTTGTTGGGTTTATTTTAATTGGAATCAATTGAGTGTTGATTTTCTTGTTGTTTGGTTATTATAGCTTGAAGGTATGAAGAGGGGTGATACAGAGTTGACATTCAAGGTGAAACGCAATTGGGATGGTGGAGTTGAATCAGACGAGTCATCGCCCCTGAAGAAGAAGATGCGGAAGAACCATGTTTTCAACCGCATGATTAATGGACCAACATTTTGCTGTGATGATGATGATGGTGGGTGTGACAAGGCGTCCTACTCCACTAGTGATGATGTCAGCAACACCATTTCGCCTTCCACTCCACCCATCCTTAGCCACCGGAATTCCAACAGGAGAAAAGGCATTCCTCATCGCTCCCCATTTAGATGAAACCAGCCCCAATCACAATACTTTTATATACATACATATATAGTTCAGTATATGTAAATCCAAAGTACATATGTCTATATATGTATATGTATATATGTACAGGGAAGTACTTGTAGCAAAATTATGAATGTATAGAATATAAATTAAATAGAAGAATGACAGGGGAATGGGGATGTCTATATAATTTGCGAATAAAGTAATGATATAGGCTTGGTTTCTCGTGTAAATATAAAATAAGTAGTGTGTTTGCTTTTAGCTTTTCATTTCTGAGTGTAGCATTGCTAGTACGTATTCTTCATAACCAAATTAGAGATGATGGAATGTATAATTATTTATTACAAGTAGTGTCTCATGAGACTTGGGCTTTTGGAGGTGTTAGAGAAGATTAGCAATTGTGTAGTTACACTGCAGCACATGTATAATGAACTTGTTTTCATTTGGTTGTTGCTGATTTGATTTATAAGTGCATTTTGAGACATGTGAGCTTTTGGCGTGCTTTATGTCGAAAGGAACAATTGTATGAGATAAGCTAGTTTTAGAGTCAATAATTGAGGATGTTATTTGCAACAAACACGCAAACCTCATTCATACATTATATTTTTTGAGAACTTCAACCTTCAACGAAGATATCACGAAATCCTTAGTAACTGTCTGCAAGATTACCTCTGAAGTTCCTTGACAACGACTACTTTAGTGGATTGAACACAATTAAATTAAGCTCACACTTATTTGGAGCATGGATTAATGGTTAATCATCAATTGTGTTTAATACTTTTTAAATTTAGGCTGCAGTATAATTAAATCAAGGTTGAATGTATATTATTATTTAAAATCGTTATTTATTGTTTTTTTATTCTTGATTTAATTGTTGAATTACAAATTTGCAGCCTGCATTAACACTTGAATTATGCAATAGCTTCAACACAATTAAAGTACCCCCAAAAAAAATTTGTACAGCACAGAATCCAGGTCTGACTGATCTGATCATACAAAATTAGAAAGTATTGAACGGACAGTACACGTGTGTAGTGGATGTTAGGAAATGGGTGAAGGCCCCACTATAAATTTGGATTGATGATCATCGCTGTTGGCATGCAAGTTCCATGTCACGAGGAAGCTTAGAGGACACGTAACCTTAGCAACAACCTTAATCATAAGGATGCTCTACCCAACTAGGGATGGCAATGGAACGGGATGGAACAAGTTTCTCATTTTCCATTCTCATTTCTTTTTAAATTTGAAGTCCTCAAAATCGCCTTATAACCAATTATTTTTTTACTCTTAATTCCCATGATCGTCCCTGCCCTGCTTAAAAAGATAAGAATAAGTAAGTTTATTTAGAAGTGTATATATAATATAATATGATATATATATATATATATATATATATATATATATGTTAAATCGGTAAGTACACGACACGAGCTAATTAGAGTAATTTCATATGTAATCGGGGCTTGGAAGTCCCCCGCCTCAAATTTAGTCAGTTTTTTTCCCCAACCCCCATTCTCATCCCATTTAAATAAGCGGTTCTCTAAACTTGCTTTAAATAGGACGTAAGGGGCGGTTCTCTACCGAGTTGAAATAAATTGTCATCCCTGTATCCAACCATTCCATCCCATCTCTCTCTCTCTTTATAAATATATATATATATATATATGTGTGTGTGTGTGTACAGAGTTAAAGACACACAAAAACAGACAAATGGATGCAGAAAGCAAGGAAATTAACCCGAAAATTCTGGATCGACTCTTCTCCTAAGCTGATTTCCTTTTCATCTCTTCCTTTCTTATTAAGAAAGAAAAGTCTAATTATTGAAAATTTTAATATATATATATATATAATTGCTGAGGTCTTGATGTAGAAGTCACCAAAAGCAAATTAGCAGTTGGTTAATATGACCGCGGGACTGCTTTGTCGTCTTAATGAGTGGGGTGAGGATTTCAATGTTACTCCATCTTTAACTTTTCAAAGCATTGTGACACTGACACATATATGTTTGTTCTATTAGTCTCCTACACTACGCTTTCAATCAATTTTGGATTTTGTGATGATCATAATGACTCAGCTTTTTACTTCTCAAATACTCCAGTATTATTTATACAGGAGTATAAGCGATACTATGTATGATTACAATTTACAAGGAAATTAAAGATGTATACGGTTTGTTTGGCGTATTCAGTGAATTGTACGACGATGGTGATGATACAATTAATTTTGGATTATGTAGTCTTGTCTTTATGTTTGTGTTCTTTTATTAATATTTGATTCAGTTGTTTTCATGGACTTGTACTTGATTATGAATGGTCTGAAATAAACAAAAATGAACACACAGACTAATGGTTGAGAGTGGTACCCTGCAGATAAGGCTAGCTAGTTGCGATTGTGGTGAAGGTTGGATCCCTTGCTTTAGTACAACATGTCAAAATCTTCTCCTCCAATGCAGACTCCGACGGATCCAGAAAATTAGATAAGTGGGGCAAAAGTGAATTTTTTTTTATAATTTGGAAGGGAGTAATACTAAAATTTCATTAGTATATAATTGTAATATAAAAAATTTCCTAATAATTAGTGTTAAAAAAAAAAAACAAAGAATATGAGGCGCGCAATTTGAATGATGAAATATCTTCGGAATCACAAATGTCTCTCATTATGCTCCATTTGGTTGAAGGAATGGAAACATGGATGGAAGGGAGAGGGGGAGGGATGGATGAGTCATTCTAAGGAAGGGAAAGTGTCTCCTTCATTTTATGTTTGGTTGAATGGAAGGGACAGCAGAAAGGATTGACGGAGTGCTAGTTTTTTTTGTTTGGTTGGAAGGAAGAAAATGATAATTTTTATATATTTTTTTACTAATATACCCTTACTATATAAAGTTATAAAATTAATTAGTTTAAAATTATTTAATAATACTGAGCTCTCTACTAACAAGTTGTCTAAAATAAATGTTTAATACTTACATTCCAAACAAATTTTTTTTTTTAAATGAATGTTTTTATTTTTATTTTTTTTATACATACCAAATAATTAATTAATTAAATTTATTTAATAATCTCATTATAGTTGTTTCACGGAACGGGATTTTAACAAATTCTTAGAAAGGGTAAAAATGAAAATTATAACAAATTTTGGTAGTTATCCTTTTTTCTCTCCACTCTTCCCCTCGAATTTGGGCAAATAGGAAAATGTATAACAAGTAGGAAAATGTATAACAAGGAGAAGGATGAAGCATCCCTCATTGCTTCCTCCCTCTCTTCCCTCCCCTTCAACCAAACATGAAAACATTCATCCATCCCTCCTCCCATCCATCCTTCCCCAATACATCCCTCCAACCAAACATAGCATTAATTTCCACTTTAACTGATTTTTACAGTACCATTCTACCATGAATTAAAATATGAATAATGCTTGCTTTAGGTTGCATAAGAAGGGACCTCCTTCTTATGATGAGGTAGTCCAATAAAATATCAATACGTGTTAAAATTTTAAAAGGAAAAAAAATAATGATTATAGGGAATAGAAACTAATCATTTCCTTTTTTTCTCTCATGCATTGATGTATGTTACTTTTAAAATCAAACAATGTTCCTTTTTAATTTTTGTATATCTCCACCATCATAAATGCATCCATATATATTACTTCAAATCTAAACCTGCAAGTTGTTATTGAGATTCTGAAAAAGAAACAAAGAAAAAATTTATCAATTACAATTATAAATCTAATAGACAGAACATCTAAATAACCACACACATATACAGAGATTACCAGATGAAGTAAAATAGACTATTAATATTCTAGAGAGAGATATTTACCAAGTAAAGATAATAGAGTGACTTGTACGATTTTGAAGATCAAATGCCGGATTAAAAATTAGTAATCTTTGTGAATTTATGATGGGGATGATGTACGAAAATTAAAAAGGAATTGATTTTAGATTCAAAACACAGAAGTAATATATATTGATGCGTGAGAGAGAGAAAGGGAATGATTAGTTTCCATTTCCTATAGTCCACATTTTTTTTTCTTTTTAAACACTTGTTAATATTTTATTAGGTCACCTCATCACAAAAATGAGTTTTTTCTTATCCTGCAAACATTATTCTTAAAATTATACATCAACACATAAACTTTACCCAGCTATATGTATAATACTTTGTGCACGTTCCACAATTGTTTTCCCCTAAATCGAGTACGTGCTATTTATTCTCTTAAAAGTAGCGTCCAACTTTTACTTTGTAAAAGGGCAAGAGATTAACGCATCAAACCAAGTTTTTCCTCTAATATTAAGATGGATCAAATGCCGTTCACTTGAAACAATGAATTAAGATTCAAGACATATGACTTGTTTCTTTATATCATATTGATTGGAATTAAAATAGTTACCAAAATTTAAAATTAAATAAAATTGATATATTTATTTGCTCGATTAAATAATATATAATTTACATGTAATAATTTTATGGGTTAAATGTTAAAAAAATTTCTTTATTATTGATATAGTGTAAAATAATCTTTGTGTAGTAAATAATATCCCTATATTATTAATTTGGTGTAAATAAATTTATAAAAATTTAAAATGACGATTATACCTTATTTCAATGGAATAAAATAATAAATATAAATATAAGTTATGTAATTTTACTCTTTTATTACGCCATGTCTTTTTGCCCAAATAGTCTCCTCCTCTTCTGAGTTCACGCAAAACCTATACTTATATATATATATGTTTACTTCTTCCTTTAATTGTAATTTTTGACAATAATTATGTCTATTTCTCCCTTTCAATTCTTAGATTGATAATCTAAGAAGTATTCAATCTGAGATCTATTTCTTCCTTTGATTTCAATTTTTTTACCATCAAATATGTTTCTTTCTTTATTTTTATTTTTGGTAATACGAGATCCCTATACATATATATCAAAAATAAGATTTTTCTGTTAGTAGCATCGTATCCGCCTCATCCTGCAAATCGTTCGAAGGGAAGCGCCTAAATCAACATTTTATGACAGTCACACCCCAAAGAAAATAGGGAAGTTTGGTCTATTCCTGTAGCCAGTGAGTGATAGGAACGAAGTCCTGTCTTTTTTTCTGCAACGGCCTCAAACTAGGACTCACCTGAGATCGGAGAGAGAAAGCAAATCTGGTATTGACAACTGTGTGACTCCATGAATATGGAAGTAACCGGAAAAGAGAAGATAGAGATACATCGACAAATATGAAAATAGCCGAAAACTTGGGCAACCCCACTGACCTCTTCCTCCTCTCTAAACTCCACTCCGACCACGGCGTCCTCGGCCACCGAAAAATCGGCTCCGTCTCTGTCCCCGTCAAAGAACTCCTCGCCGGCACCCACCACTACTCCCTTTCTCTCGTCTCAAAACTCAACCCCGCGACTGGTCAAACCTCCGCCGGCCTCCTCCATCGAACCATCGACTA